GCTTATTGAATGTTAGATCGATGATTTCTAAGGTGGATAGCTTGTACGAATTAATCTTCAATGGTTTAGATATATTGGTACCAACTGAGACCTGGCACGGATTACCTGGTAATGTTTCTGTCAATTTAGCGATGCCACCCGGTTATCGATTTGTGGATTTTGTCCGACCGCATGATCCTGGTCACGGGAGTTTAATTGTTTACTTTTGTTCTGAGTTTATCTACAAAAAGATTGGTTTACCGTTGTTTGCTACCTTTAAGGTAATCACAGTGAAACTTGTGATGGGCGATAATGATTACATTATGGTTGCAATATACCAACCTGGATCGGTTCAAATAACTGCTTCATTGTTCAGTGAATTTGTTTCTTTATTGGAGAATATTGCAATGTTGTCATCACATATTCTATTGGTTGGTGATTTTGATATTCACTTAGAAAGAGTTTATGATGCACACAAAATTAACTTTTATGAAATTTTTCAGCTGCATAACTATATTACAGAAACAACTCATGTACTTGGTGATATGTTATCTGGTCATCAGCTTGCACAACATTTCGGTTTTGGAAACAACCGTTTTTCCTAGTGAAGTATATTCAGACCATAGTTTTATTGAAGCAAAAACATCTGTGCCTAAAAAACGTCGTGAATTCATCAGAAAACAAGTTAGATCGTGAAACAATTTAAACGAAGACGCGTTTATCAGGACAGTCTTAGATTCACCAGTATCTAGGGCCTGTTCAAGCGAAGACGTTGATGGCAAGTTAAATTGATAAATCATTTAAAATGCAGTTCCAGTTAAGCAGGTCTCGGGTAGAAATGTTTATGCTGCTTCCTGGTTTGATAGAAATTGTCTGCAGGAAAAGCGACATCGCTGAAAGCTGGAAAGGCTTTAAAGGAAAAGTCCCTCAGATACAAATTGAGTAGTTTGGATTAAATCTTTGAGGTAAAAATCAAAACTCTTTTCTGATAAAAACGAGATTGGAAAATTTATTAGTTGTTTGTCGAATGTTGATTCTTGGATGTCAAGTAACGGTTTGAAATTGAATCAGTGTAAGACCCAGTTGCATCTAATTGGTACGTGGCAACAATTGGCGAGGCTTGAGACAAAATCAATCATCATATCTTGTGAAGAAATATCTTTCGTTGATGTCGCATCAAACCTGGATTGTATACTCGACAGAAAACTGTCAATGAATGAACACATCAAGAAGTTGCAAACCTTGAGCATAATACAATTCCAAAGGTTATACAAAGTCGACGTGCAATTGATCGTAAAACAAAAGAGATGTTGGTTCATGCATTTATTAGTTCTCGGCTGGACTATTGCAACAGTCTGCTCTACAATTCACCCAACAAATCAATTGTCGTGCTTCAGTCAGTGCAGAATCGGACTGCTAAGTTAGTAATTGGTAAATTAAAGTTTGATCATGTTACGCCGATTTTGAAAGACCTTCGCTGATTACCGATCAAAAAAAATAATAACTTTTAATTTGTCTAATTATGTTCAAGTCGTTAAATGGATTGGTACCTGAATATTTAGCATGTAAATTCAGTAAAAAAAAAAACGTCAACAGGTGCTTGTTTGAGATCAGATGAGCAAAATATACTCATTTAATTTAAAATTTCAATCTGCCTTTGTCCTTAAAAAAACCGGGCCAGGATCTTAACAGTTTAGAAAAAAACCTTAAAACTTATTTGTTTTTATTGAACTAATGTTGATACAGCCATAATTTGTTCTGTTTTACATTTTGTAGCTTAAAATTTCTATTTAAATTTGCGCTTTATAAATTTGCCAGATAATAATTCTGTAGATTTTATACAATACTGTATAAAATATGGTCTCCTTCCAACACAAACACACACATACAGCACACAAACACACGAACAAAGATATATATATATGTGTGTGTGTGTTTGTGTGTGTGTGTGTGGTGTGTGTGTGTGTTTAACTTAACTATCAACTTTTCAAAATTTCATTTGGCCAACGAAAATACAATGATAAAAAATAATAAATATAATTAAATATAAATATTAAGATAACAAAAGAGAAAGCAACATACGCAGTTCGTTCATCACTTGATTCAAAAATGTCAACAACATATTTTTCTTTGTAAAATTGTGGTTCACGTAGGCCAACCAGAATTTTCAAAATTTCAGTGGTTGATCGTTGTTTTCCTTTAGCTGCTACATCAATAACGTACACATCAACTTCATATTCTTTCCCTTCTTTAAATGGTTCATCACCTTTGGTTTGAACTAGCCCCGATGTAAAGTCTACTTCAAATCGCCAATCCGCTTCATCAATTCCTTTAATTATTAAGCATTAAATGTTTGTTGATATTATAACAAATATGATATAGGAAATATGGTGCTTTTAGCAATATAAAAATTAATATACGGTTTCTTTCAAATGAAACAACGTCTTCAAATAATTCAGAATGATAGTAAACATAACATATCATAAGATTATGTATATAGTTGTTTTTTATCATGAAATGTCAAGACATTTTTTTGATAAGACTAGATTGCTAATAATATTTTACATTTGTATATATATATATATATATTTATATATATATATATATATATATATATATATTTACAATATTCTATAAATTCTACCGAATGTTTGGCGTTAATATGTTTGTAGTTTATTTTTTCGATATTTCTCACTAAAGTTTTTTGGTGAACGTTTAGTTTATTAAAATTCAAAATAAACTTATTTTTCGAATTCATGCTGCAAATAAGGCCATATTTCGATTCCGAATGAATCATCATCAGTGCTCCTTGCTGTATATATAGGGGAAATATTGACTTTGTCAAGATGAACTTTGACGTTGTAAAAATTAACTTTGGTGTTGTAAAATTGAACTTTGATGCGAATTACGTGTCAGGTTTCTTTATTGGCTGGTCATCTTCTTTGGTCTCCTTTTCTTCATCGATAGCAACATATTCATCTTTGTCATTATTTACGATGCTAGTTTTTATTACTTCTTTGTTTTCGTTGTTGGTTAAGCGCCGGGTTGGAAGTGAGGTAGTCATTTTTTGTTGTATATTTATTTTAGGACTGCTTCTGCAATTTTAAGATGCGTGTAGTTGCTGTTCTGGTATATTACTTTGGTGTTGCTGTCGAGGATTTCACGGCTAATTGTGATTGAGTGTGTTGAGTCCAAATGAGATTTGATAGCACCATTCTGTTTATGCATGTGTTTTTAGGACTGCTTCTGCAATTTTAAGATGCGTGTAGTTGCTGTTCTGGTATATTACTTTGGTGTTGCTGTCGAGGATTTCACGGCTAATTGTGATTGAGTGTGTTGAGTCCAAATGAGATTTGATAGCACCATTCTGTTTATGCATCGTAAGCCTTCTAGTCAGTGAGGTAGTAGTAATCCCGATATATGAATCATGTTGACGTGCACAGCCGTCAAAGGGGCAATTAATTTCATATATTACGTGATTACGCTTTAACTCAGAGTTATCTCTAGGACTGCAGTTGTTTTTCAGTATTAGGTGAGACGCATAAATAAATAAATATATATATATATATATATATATATATTTCGGAACGAGGTTTTCTTTAATACAAACATCATTGAAGATATATGCCCATTTTGCATTAATGACTTTCTTTAATGAACACTCAACAAGTCTGAATTTATTAAACTCGTATTTATTTAAAACAATAGACATGGTAAGGCTAACAGCGCTGTTTCGGGAAGTCCATCTTCAGAGCCTATGAAAATAAGAATAGCATGAAATATTTTTATAAAATTAGAATGCATATTAAATGTGTAATAAAATTATTAAGAAAATAACGAGAAACCTTTGTTAGTGAAAACAATGCAAAACATGTACAAATTAAATTTATGGTTAAAAATATAAATGTATATAAAAAGTTAGTAAAATAGTATTAAATTAAATATTAAAACAAATAAATTAATACTGAAATTTAGTTCAGTGAAAATTTGTTAAAATCGGATGATGTATATAAAACGTAAATAAGTTAGTTGAATGTGAAAAGAAGACATGTGTGGAAAGAATATGGAAAATTGTCAAAATTAATTATTAAGTTTATAATGATATATAAGAAATTTTAATAAACGAATCCGTAAATGAAACAACTAAATTAGATTAAAATGGAATATAGACTATTTATGAAAAAATATAATGGAATAAGATAAAATAAATGAAATAAAATGAAAAAATACGTTAATCTTTCTAATCATACCCTAGCCGACGATGAAGTTTCCTTTTTGAATTTAGGTTTGAATATGCATTTTAGACACAAGTATAGCAATATACACAAGGAAGTAGAGCTGGAGATGCTATACAATCTAGCATTATTCTCCCTGACAACACTATCCAATCATACGTTAATCTTTCTAATCATACCCTAGCCGACGATGAAGTTTCCTTTTTGAATTTAGGTTTGAATATGCATTTTAGACACAAGTATAGCAATATACACAAGGAAGTAGAGCTGGAGATGCTATACAATCAACTTCAGAGATTGAAAAAGCAACGGATTATTGACTTTGAACATGGCTTACACAGTCAACTGCAGGCCGAATCTCATCGACATTGAAATGGATATCGCAAAACTGTTCTTTCGAGGGAATTACTCAACGCGGCTAAACGTCTCCGTTCCAACATTGATCTAACGATACGTAAATCAGATAAATCTAATATGTATGTGATACTAAATAAAACAGATTACCTTCAGCAAATCAATAATATCCTGGCTGACACTACTAAGTTTGAACGCATTACAAAAGATCCTACTAGCGATATAAAAACATCGGCCAATAAGTTGATTGCACAAGTTAATTTAGCCTCAACTATCAACAAACTTACGCCTATCGTAGGTGATTACGCTCCTGGATATATTTATGGTAACGTGAAAACACACAAATTGAATAACCCTTTGCGTCCTATCATTTCACAGTGCCCCACGCCTACATATCAATTGGTAAAAACAATCAATAAACTGTTACAACCGTATATTCCACGCACATATTCTGTTAATTCTAGTTGTGAGTTTATTGATATCATAAATGGCAATAAACAGTGTGATGGACATATGGCTTCTCTCGACGTCGAGAGCCTATTCACAAATGTTCCAATGGAACATACTATCGACATCATATGTTCACATGTTTACAACCATCCCACACTACCTCAGCTTGATATACATCCAGATTTACTCAAAGATATTTTGCGATTGTGCACTGTTCAGAGTCCGTTCACTGCTCCCGATGGTTTACTTTATCTGCAGGTGGATGGTGTGGCGATGGGATCTCCTCTTGGCCCACTTTTTGCTGAGTTTTATATGTCGGATCTTGAAACTCGCATATTTAAAGACCCAGATAACAAGCCGTTGATATATGCACGATATGTTGATGATATATTCGTCATTTGCAAAACGGTTTCTGATGTGTACTGTTTGCGGAATGTCTTCCAAAACAATTCCCATCTAAAATTTACTATCGAGTTCAGCAAAGAAAATGAAATTGCGTTTTTGGATTGTCTTATCATGCAGCACGAGAAACAATTAATTTCAAAGGTCTATGTTAAGCCAACCAACTCAGGTCAGGTGCTTAATTACAACTCAGATTGCCCTGAAAAATATAAATATAACGTAGTTTATAATTTTGTGCACAGGGCATATAAAATTTCATCCAATAATACTATTTTTCATAGTGAATTAGTTAGAATCAAACAATTCTTAATAAACAATAATTACCCGAACAAGTTAATAGATACCATTATTCGCAAATACTTGAATAAAATCAGTGACTCAACATCTGTTCCTTTGCTACCATCGGCTTCAACAAAAACAATAATACCGATCTTTTACCTTAATCAAATGCATGACAACTACAAAATAGACGAATTTCAACTTAAAAATATTATAAAGTCTAATATCTCCATGTGTAATGGTGAACATAAACTTAAACTCATCATATATTATAAAACTAACCGGACTTCTAACTTAATAATAAAAAATAGTAATAGACATTCTACCAGTGATGACGAGTACTTAAGTACATTTGTACTTAAGTACGTACTTAAGTACAAATGTATGTACTTAAGTACGTACTTAAGTACAAATGTAGTACTTAGATACTTATACTTAAGTATATATGAAAACCTGTACTTAAATACTTATACTTAAGTACATTTTCCAGTACTTGTACTTATAAGTAATAAATTTTTCCTGTAAGTACCAGAAAAATTTTAAGCAAAAATAAGATAATGTCAACATTTAAAAATTGAAAACTGTGATGAAAACACACACACATTTTCACATTGACATTCTTGTTTATCTCTCTTATCAACATTTGTTCTTGTTTAGTCATGGATAGCGGGATGTTAAGATAACCATTGGCTAATTGAGTCATTAAAAAAGGTGGTTAACTCACATCACTCTGACATCTATATATCTATATCATAGACTCTACATGATCTATATACACATGCACGCTATATATAGTAGTTATTATATATATATATATATATATATATATAACAATCCTTATAAATATATGTGTTAAAGTGTTTTTGTTCACATTTTAAATATACGTGTTGAAGTGTTTTTGTTTACATTATAGATATAGGTGTTGAAGTGTTTTCGTTTACATTATAAATATATGTGTTGAAGTGATTTTGATGAAAACGTATATTTAGCCAGGCTGGAATGATTCTCACTCCTAAAAGAAATCGTTTAAGTGATGAATCATTTGAAACTTTACTTTTACTCAAAAAGAACAAACTCTTTTATTGATGTAAATAAATTACTGTAAATAATGAGTTGATTTCTGAGTTTAATAAATTTATAAATATTTCAAATTAACCATGGTATGTACTTAGGTACTTATGTACTTAGTACTTATACTTAGTACTTATAAGTATCAAGTATACAATTTGTTTTGGTACTTAGTACTTATACTTAAGTACTTTTATTATTGAGTACTTAGTACTTATACTTAAGTACATTTTTTGAGTACTTACGTCATCACTGCATTCTACAAGTATTTTGGAACAGAGTAGCGTGGTGTACAGCTTCAATTGTCCTATGCCACACAGTGTTGTGAAAAATTATGTTGGGCATACGCGTACTACTCTGGCCAGAAGGCTTACGATGCACGTACAGAACGGTGCCATTAAAGATCATATGCTCAAATCTCACGGTTTGCCACTAACCAGAGCATTACTTGATGTTAACACGAAAATACTTGAACGTGAATCGCACCCAGTTCGCCTCAAAATTAAAGAAGCTTTATACATCTACAAGAATAAACCCGCTATGAATAAACAATTTAACACATTTGATCATAGCCTACATCTTTACTCCCAGTATAGACATGATAGTCAACAACGTGCCGTTCATACCAATATCATAGAACCACCAATGTTGCGCCACTTCGAATACGAGCCAATGCCAAAAGAAGCGATACTGTTTAATGGTGAACATGTTACCACTCGTCATAGGACTGTTT